ATTCTGAGGTAATGAGTTTATGATTTTAATAATAAGTTCACAGTTTAACAGTAGGTTCATGATTTCAACATTGGGTGGTTCGCGATTTTAATGGTAGGTGAATTGGTAATTTAACAGTATATAGGCGAGTTTGTAATTTTAAGGTTCGTACTTTTAGCAAAGGATCTTTTATGAATAATAAATGCATATTTTATACACAATCTACGTAGGCTACATAGCATACGTAATAAATCTAAAATTTCATTTCTACCTCATATAGCGAAAATGTGCAATAAAGATACTGACAATTAAGAATAAGAGCCACTCTACTAGCTAGAATGTGTAAAAACTAGTGCACTAAGAATTTACGTAGGCACATGTATGAACGAATATTGATTACAGTATTACTTTTAATATCAATTATATATTTTTAAGCTCGGGTTTAAAATTCGGGTTACCCGGTTTTCTAACCGTTTGGGAGCATTAGTAAAAACTGATCAAATTTTATTTTCAATTTTAATAAACTCAAAAATTATATGCATACCGCAAGTTTAATCAATTAAAAAAGTGGTCAATATTTTGAAATAGACTGTATGAAATAATTTGTTACTATTTTTTAAATACATATGGGCTTATATCTGCTTTGTATTAGAGCTTGGATATGGATAGGATTATTCAGATAACTTATCAGGGTATCCAGATATCCGGATAAACAGTTTGGCTAATAAGTTTATTCGGATATCCAGATTTGTATAGCTGTAACTGATGTGTTATCCAGATTGATCAGAATGTCTGGTAACTGCAAAAAAAAAACCGATACTCTCGTCTACTATTGGAACATCTTGAAATTATAAACAATCAACAAACTTAAAATATAACCAAAGTCATCAGGAAATGTATAGATTTTTGAAGTTTGAATAAATAACAGATTAGCTTAAAAACTATCCAAATAAGTTAACCAAATATTCAAATTATTTAGATCCAAGTATAGATATGGCCGCTTGAAGTTAAACTTTCGTTTAACGTTATCCCCCCCTCCATCCCCTGAGCTCCCCCCTAAAATTAAACAAATAGAGGTGACAAATTAGTCAGTGTAATGGTCGGCACAGCGATCGGAATTTTTCGATTATATTCGGGATTTTTCGGTATAATATATGTTTATTTTTTATGTTTGTTTAATTTTCCCCCCCCCCCCCCCCCCCCGTGAATACGAAAAAAAATTAACGTTAAACGAAACTTTAACTGCAAGCGGCCTATCTAGATCATTCAGATCTAAGCTCTACTTTGCATCCGTTCCTAGTTTCTAGTGCAACTGCGTTGCTCAGCTAACTTATTGTACATAATAGTGTACGTACAGAAAATAAATCATAAGCGTTGCACGATAAATATTAGATACATGAACCTTTGGAAGGTCTAATGCAAGTCTAATTACATTAATCAATTTTTTCTATGCCGTAAATAGTAAAAACATAAAATTTAAATTGTAATAACTCTTGAACAGACAGAACCCACACAATAAAATTATATTTTCGGTTCATTTTGTGTGCTCTCTAAAGTAATAACGCAATAACGCCTTTTTTTATTGCAACATAGCGGAGAACGCAATTTTTATGCAAAATGATTATTTTTGACTTTTTTTAATAAAAATATCAAAAATGTAACTTCGAAATTTTTTGTCAATCACTATTGCAACAAAAATGTTAAAGTTACGTTTTTGATATTTTACTAAAAAACATCAAAAATAACCATTTTGCATAGAAATTGAATTCTCGCTATGCTCCAAACAATAAAAATAAATGAAAAAAAAAACATCATTACTTTAAAGAGCATACTAAAATGAATCCGACAAATATAATTTTATTTAGTTGCCTGTTCGAGAGTTATTTTTTTATTTGTTTTTTCTATTTATGCTACCACTAAGAAACATTTGATTAATGGTCGTCACTTTACCACCTGCGCTATGTTTGTAATTAGACTTGCATTAGACCCCCTTATTTTTACATAAATGTGAATCTGTCACATAGCAAAAAGCGTGCAAGCTATTAGAAGCTACTAGCAATTTATAACAATGCCTTATCAGTGTATTGTATGCACTTCTTGTAATCGACTACAATTGATTAATTCTTTTGATCATACATTGTGGAGGGTTGTTGGTGCAGGTATAATTTTTAGTGTACACCATGATGCAGCATTATATCTGCACCAGCAACCCTAATTGAATAACAAAGATTATATGTGAAAAAAATTTAAATAGTCCAGATAATGTTTTATAAAATATTTGTTTCTTCTTACTTTCTCATTATTATTCATTCAAAATTTCTAGAAATGAATCCTTCTTTGCCGGAAGAATGGAAATCTTATGTGGGTGATGCAATCATTTTGTTATTTATTTTATTGTGAAGCTTGAACTCATCATTTACGTTTTCGTTTAGGTTGATTTAAATGGAATAGTCTATTGTAAGTACAGTAATGTAATGTATATTACCTTTTTTTTTTTTATTAAGCATTTATAAACACAAATTTTTTAAAAGATTATAATACAAGAACTGGTATATCTCGGCAGGTAATTTTGATATTTATTTTTTTTTATTAAGTGTCTTGCGCTTATATTTAATAAATTTATATTTTATACTAGAATCCTCCTTACCAAATGCAGTCATTCCCCCAAATTTCTAATCAAAATACCGATACCAATACCAATATTTTACACCAGAATTCTCCTTACCAAATGCCAATTCCTCAACATTATAATTCAAATGTCAATACTTTAAACCAGAATCCTCTTTACTCAAATCCAATTCCTCAAAATTATTATCAAAATAATAATAATACATCACAACAGCAAAACT